AAAACAATACACCTTTATTTATGTAGACAAGTCTACATGTATTCATGTACCAAAATAGGGTGATCAGGGCAATCAGGGGTGCCGTACCTTTCCAAGAGCAATTTGCTAACCAAGCGCTGGCCAGCATGAGCGAAGCGCACGTTCACTATAGATTCTTCACAGGCGGAGTGCATTTGGTATCACTCCGCCTGTGACAGAAGCTGGCGCTATAGAGGAGGCATCGGCTTATGTTGCTCTGCTCCCTCTGATGCCACCTAGTTTCCTCTAGCGCTGGCTTCGTTGGCACTGCTGATTCTCTCCTGCCTCTCCCACGGCTCTTCAAGTTCCCCCTTATGCCACCAACTGCCCTGGGAATGGCCACAACTAGGTCTTATTTTCGGGGGTAGGTCTTATATTTTAGCAATTCCCAAAAATAGTACTAGGTCTAATTTTCGGGGAAACAGGGTATATCTATAAAATTTTAATAATGATAATAATATTTAACAGAAACAAAACCCGACTACTGCAGCCCCCCACCCCCAAAAAGAAAAAAAAAAAAAGTTGGGCTCAATGGTACAGCTGGTCAAAACCAGAGGCCGCCGACACTTCTAGAAAAAATACAGTGTGGCTTATATCCATACAAAGAGTACCACTCAACTTGATTATCAACACACCCACCACCACCCTTTAATGAATAGACAGGGATCGTTCAGCATTCAGCAAGCACAGGGCAAACCTATCTCCATGTCAATAAGTCAATTTCCATACATCTGGTTGCATAAAGAAGAAGAACTAGCTCAACTCATTGCATGTCAACATCAGCTTTGAGAAACTTGTTGGGTGGGTCCAGGGGACAAATAACCCCTCCTCCCCCGCTCGGAGCCACATGTATCATCCATGCAAAGTACAGACAAGTCCGGGCAATGGGAGAGACATTTAAAACCAGAAAATCTCTAACATTTGGCAGCAAGCTGCATGGTGAATCTTGGTGTTGATGTTCTCTCAATTGATCACTTAATGGTTTGTAGCAGTCCCAGTCACCACAGGAGCTTACAAACTACAGATATAAAAAAGGTGCCTACAGACATAAAACTTTTCCTATTCTAGATTTTTGGGGAACACTATTGTATGTCTGTAGGCCACTCCAGTTCATGGCACCTGCTGGTGCTGTCTCGGGGTTGAGGGAAGTGATCATCCATAAATCGACATGTCCTTGTCTTCTCCCACAGCAACCCACAATCCTCTACAGAAAGGGGTAGCCAAACGTCATCTCATCCCTCTAGCTGTGATGAAACTGCA